GTGATGCGGATTAAATGAAAACGTCTCGGTTACGTATGTAACCTCGTTCCCTGAGTAGGGAACGGAGACGTTACGTCAGAAGTGACGGAGATTGGGGGTTCGCATAGAAAGCCAATCCTCTTCGAGTATTAAAACACGAGCCAATGGCATGCAATGCCTTGGGGCTGCGGAAATTTGCATAGCGTACTCCGCCCTACTCCGTGAGTATAAAAAGGAGGAAGTGAACGCAACCGCAGTATGTCTTCGCTGAGGAGCCAAGACTGAACTCGGCCTCTACCCAGCGATACAGCAGAAGTGGCAGGGAGACGTAACGTCTCCGTTCCCTACTCAGGGAACGAGGGTTACATACGTAACCGAGACGTTCCTATCGTAGTCACTTCGAGTTACGTCAGAAGTGACGGAGATTGGGGGTCTGTGCCATCACGCCATCTTCAAGCTGTCTTCCAGTGCCCTGCGAAAGACTGAACCCCCGAGCCTTACCTTTTTTTTTTTTTTTTTTTTTTTGGGGATCCGACTTTGACACAGGATTACCAAGGTACACTGGGAACATATCCCGAAGGGGACATGCTACCAGCTGCCTACCGAAGGGAGGACTTAAGAATACACATATGGCCACATAGGAACGCATATGGAACACTGGAGTACCAACCGCAGGTGGCTACTGATTTAAACTCCAGGGGTGGCAGATGGCTTGCCAAGGGAAGACACATGCTCAGAGAGGCTTACAGTGGATAATACACATGAGACGGTTACCATGGGGAACCGTGCGCATGGAGGCACCTAGCTAGCATCCAGAGCAACGCAGTGGTGCCCGCATCGTCGGTGCTGGAGGACTCAAGACTTCAATGGAAGAACTGAGGAAATATCGCACTTATCCAGTCCGGGGAGTGGAGTGGCGAGCAAGCGAAGACACCTGAGCGGATCCAGAACTGGCCGAAACGAGTACGTGAGAGGATACCGGCTCAATTCGCAGATTATAGAATCTGGCGAAGGTGTTGGGTGTCGCCCAGCCTGCAGCTCTGCAGATGTCTGTTAGCGAGGCGCCGTGCGCTAAAGCCCAAGAGGAGGCTACACTCCGAGTGGAATGGGCCGTCACACCAAGGGGGCACGGAAGGCCTTGCTGCTGGTAAGACAAAGCAATGGCATCCACTATCCAGTGGGACAGCCGTTGCTTTGAGAGAGCCCTTCCCTTCTGGCTCCCCCCATGACAGACAAAGAGCTGGTCTGAGGTCCTGAAACACTGCGTTCTGTCGACATAGGTGCGGAGAGCACGTACCGGACAGAGCAGTGCCAAGGCTGGGTCTGCCTCCTCCAGGGCAGCGCTTGCAGGTTCACCACCAGGTCCCGGAGGGGAGTGGTAGGAACCTTGGGCATATATCCAGGCCGGGGTCTCAGGAATACGTGAGAGTAAGCCGGCCCGAACTCCAGGCACACTTCGTCAACAGAGAGTGCGTGCAGGTCCCTTACTCTCCTGATGGATACCAATGCAATCAGGAGTGCTGTCACATAGGACAGGGCAAAAACTCTACCGACTGCAAAGGCTCCAGGGGAGGCCTCTGCAGAGCACCCAGGTCTACTGAGAGGTCCCCAGAGGGCAGGAGGGGAGGGAGGCGGATTTAGCCCCCTCACTCCCCTCAGGAACCTGATGACCAGGTCATGCTTCCCATAGACTTACCTTTCACTGCATCATGAGACGCGGCAATGGCCGCGACATAATCCAAAGGGTGGAGGGCGACAGCCTGCGCTCCAACCCCTCTTGCAGGAAGGAAGCATGACTCCGATCGAACATCTCCGGGGGTCTTCTCAGCGAGAAGAACACCAATTGACGAAGAGGTTCACTTCAACGCATAAAGGTGTCACGTGGACGACGCTCTTGCGGAAGATGATGGTTGCCGCCACCGCAGGTGGCAGCGAACTCAAACCTGCCTCGTCCCGTCCTGGAGCCACACGTGCAGCCTCCAAGATCGGGACGAGGGTGCCACAGAGTGCCCCGTCTCTGAGAGAGTAGGTCCGGTCTCAGAGGAATAGGCCAAGGAGGTGCTGTCGCGAGGAGCAAGAGTTCGGAGAACCACGTCTTGGTGGGCCAGTAGGGGGCTACCAGCAAGACCTGCTCCTCGTCCTCCTTGATCTTGCACAACACCCGTGCAAGGAGGCTCACTGGGGAAACGCACACTTGCGTGGGCCCCGTGGCCAGCTGTGCGCCAGCGCATCCGAGCCGAGAGAGCCGCGGGTCAGAGAATAACTGGGCGCAGTGGGACGAGTCCCGAGAGGCGAACAGGTCTAACTGTGCCTCCCCGAACTGGTCCCAAATCAGCTGGACCGACTGGGGATGGAGTCGCCATTCGCCGGAGATGGGACGGGCCCGGGACAGCTCGCGGCTGCCCGATTCCGGTCTCCAGGAATGTAACTGCACGAAGGGACCTCAGGTGCTTCTGACTCCATATCAAGAGGTGGCGGGCGAGCTGCGACAACCGGCGCGAGCGTAGACCCCCCCTGGTGGTTGATGTACGCTACTGCCGTAGTGTTGTCTGAGCGGACAAGCACATGCTGGCCCTAGAGCACGCTCGGAAGCGGTGCCGGGCGAGCCGTACTGCCAACAGCTCGAGGCAATTGATGTGCATGAGGCGCTGGGCTCCTGTCCAGGAACCGGCGGCTGCATGCCCATTGCACATGGCACCCCAACCCGTGGTAGACGCATCCGTGGAGACAACGAGATGCCTGGAAACTCGCTGAATAGGGACCCTGTCCGTAAAAAGCTGAGGTTCGACCACGGGAAGAAGGATCGGCGGCACGTCGGAGTCACTGGAACTCGGAGCGAGCCGCGATGCCATGCCCACCTCGGGACTCGATCGCGAAGCCACAGCTGAAGCGGTCTCATATGAAGCAAACCGAGCGGCGTTGCCGCGGCCGCGGATGCCATATGCCCCAGGAGCCTCTGAAATAGTTTCAGTGGAACCGCACTCTTGCCCTCGAACTGTCGAAGACAAGCCAGCAGTGAGTGCGCGCGCTCGTTCGTGAGCTGCGCGGACATGGCGACCGAGTCTATCTCCATGCCGAGAAAAGAGATCCTCTGCACGGGGCAAAGTTTGCTCTTTTCCCGGTTGACCCGAAGGCCCAGACGGGCTAGGTGCCGTAGCACCAGGTCTCTGTGTTCGCAAACCTGAGCTCGAGAGTGTGCTAGTAACAGCCAGTCGTCGAGATAGTTCAGGATGCGAACCCCGTGTTCGCGAAGGGGAACAAGGGCTGCCTCGACGATCTTCGTGAAGACGCGAGGGGACAGAGCTAACCCGAATGGGAGAACGGCGTAACTGGTATGCCTGGCCCTCGAAGGCAAACCGAAGAAACGGTCTGTGTCGAGGGAGAATGGAGACATGGAAGTACGCGTCCTTCAGGTCGATCGCTGCAAACCAATCCTGATACCGAACACATTCGAAAATGCGTTTGGCCGTGAGCATTTTGAACGGTAGTCGATGGAGAGAACGGTTCAAAATGCGCAGGTCCAGGATCGCGTCGTAACCCACCGGTCTTTCTTGGGGACAATGAAGTAGGGGCTGTAAAGCCCGGACCTCACCTCGGCTGGAGGGACCGTCTCGATTGCACCCTTCGCCAGCAGGGTCGCAATTCTCCGCTCTCAAGACTGGGGCATTGCCACCAACCATCGTGGAGCGAACTCCCCTGAAGCGGGGAAGAGACCGTGCGAACTGAATCGCGTTAGCCGATCCGATCGTTCTGATGACGCAGCGGGAACCCGGGAAGCGCTAGCCAGGCTTCCAGGAAGTGAGCCAACGGGGTCATGCGAACCACAGACGTCCCCCCGGAGGGGCAGCGAGGCGGGTCGACCGGCATGCGTGCAGGAGTTACCCCGTCCGGATGCACCGTCGAAACCCGCTCCCCGACAGAAGAGACCAGGGAAGGCAGAGCGTTCCACGGGGGTCTGTTCTGCCGGGGGTCTGGCGACAGAGGGGGAAGGGATTGGCGTAGCCCGGGGACGACACACGCACCCTTCCGCGCCCTCCGAGACAGAGAGGAATGAACGGGGCGACGCACTGGACGTCGTGCGCGCTCATTCCAGTCTGTGTGCTCAATGACAGTGTCAGCTTTTCCTCAACCAGCTCAGGGAGCTAGCTAGAACAAAAGATTCTCCACCGGGGAAGGAGGGGCCCTGCCACCGCCTCCTGAGAAAAACCATGACACTATCACCGAGCGGCCCGCCTCAGGAACATCGCTTCGCCTGGCATCTAGCGGGGCACGCGGCCTGAGGGGGGGCTCTTTTCTTGGGACGCTTACCTGTGGCCTCCTCCGCGACGCGAACCGGCTGAAGGCTGCTGCTGGGGCCGCGGGGGAGGGAAGGGAGCCGCAGGGGGGCGTCCTCGGCGGCGAGCTGGCGGAGGCATCCGAGCCGACGGCTGGTTGGAGGCAGCAGCTGGCCGTCGGGGCAGAGAAACCGCCTTCGTCTGCTCCTAGGCGGTCGAGAAGTGCTGGGCAAAGTCCTGGACCGCACCGCCGAACATTATGATGCTCCTGGACCACAGCGGTGGGCATCACCTGACCAAGGGAGCGAGCGACCGCCTCCGTGACCCGTTTAAGGACAAGGTAGGCGACAGGCTCGCAGCTCGCTTGGTCCGTCACCTCCTCGTGCACATTCCTGAGCAGCTAGCTTTGTAGGTGCTCATCATATGCAGGGCGGAGGCTGCCTGTCCCGCCGCTCTACAGAATCGCGCCGCCATAGACGACGAGAACCCATAGGCTTTGGAGGGGCATCTGAGAGCAACCGCCGGTTGACCGGGGGAGCCCCAGCGTACCCACAGACAGCCGCATCGCCGAGGGGAGGAAGGGCGGGGAACTAAGCACGCTTTTTTTTTTTTTTTTTTTATTTATTTATTTTTAGTGCGTGTCAGTTCCGCATGCAACTCGGGGAAAAAAGGAAATTGGGGTTGGCCGTGGCCGTAAGGCGGCAGCGTTACCCAAAAACCAATTATTCAGCCGCGAGAGATCGGGAGGGCGGAGTTCCACCCCCACCCGATGCTCACGGACGCCCGAGATAGCACGGCCATCATCGCGGGATCAGACACGGCGGCGCTGACGCTCCCGAGGGAGGCAACGCGGCCGCATCCTCACTTCCCGAGGAGTCAAGCCCGCCTAGTGATGCTGTGATCGACATCGCATCATCATCTGGAGCGCTGCCCGAAGCAGCCGGTGCCACCGAAGAAGCAACCGACTGAATAGAACTAACGCTCGCTGGCTCTCGCACCGAGGCGGGAGGTGTGGCCCGAGGAATCGTCGGGGCTTATCCCACACCATCACCGTAAATCACCAGGTCCCCGGGTCGACGGGCCCCCTATGGAGGAAACCGATCGAGCGGGGGGACCGGGACTCTCACTCAAGTGAGATCATTGAGTCTCGACCTCAGTGTAGAGATGGTCATGTTCCCACAGAAGGAAAATGAGTCATCCACGAACGCTGCTGCTGCATGCTGAAATGCCCAGGCATACAAAGCAGCGATCGTGACCATCAGATGACGACAGAAATCAATCACACCCAGAAGAGCACGGGCGAACCGTCTTTAAAAAGACGTGCGCGTGCAGCTCTTTCAATGAGAGGAGGAAATTCACTCTTTCAGCGCTGAAGCGACCAGGGAGAAGCGCAAAGTCTGGCAGACCACTGCTCAGATCGCAGGCGATGCAGAATCTCGCTGGGTACCGCCGTCACACCAACACTGAAGAGGACGCTCGTCTCGAAGAGTCTTGAACAGTGCTTTCAGGAGTGAAGAGGTTCTCTTGGCTCCGAAGCGAAAACATACTGCGGTTGCGTTCACTTCCTCCTTTTATACTCACGGAGTAGGGCGGAGTACGCTATGCAAATTTCCGCAGCCCCAAGGCATTGCATGCCATTGGCTCGTGTTTTAATACTCGAAGAGGATTGGCTTTCTATGCGAAACCCCCAATCTCCGTCACTTCTGACGTAACTCGAAGTGACTACGATAGGGAACTATTGATATGTGAAATATGCAACTGTATCTTGTAGAATACTCTACATACTTTGGTTATTAAATGTGTGCTTGTGTGTGTAGTTTAAATGTGTTTCATCTAAGGTTGATTATCCAGTAAACTGGGAACTCTTACCCATATGTAAATGTGTGAATACAGGAGGAGCTCTGACGTCACTAGTTCAGAGAGAGATTCAGAGAAAGTGAAACTAACTCAACAGCAAAATGGACGCCAGAATCGAATAACCTCTTTAAACAACAGAATAATTACTGTTCAAAGAGTGTTGTGAACACATCTGATACTCACAGGTAAGAGATAGAAATATAAGAGAGATTGTGCTGAACAGGTTTAATGAAAGTGATCTGGTTTATAGGTTTATGTTTATCAAATACTCAACTACTTTAGTTGTTTACTGCACTGAAATGGCATCAGATGTGTATTAAAAGTGTGTCATTTTTATGTGTTGTAAAGCACAGTTTGATGTTTCTGTCATTTTCTCACATGACAGAACGACTAAAGAAACAGGAAGTAAATGAGCTGCAGATTCACTGAACACAAACCTGCGAAACTGCAGAAGAAAATCACATAATAAACTAGATCAAAATTACACTTGAATATATAATGTATTTGGACCATGTATATATATATATATATATATATATATATATATATATATATAGTTTTGTTGAAAAATATCACTTGTACTCTGTACTTTCTTTAATCTAAACAGCAGGTCAAAGTTCAGATTGTTCTGTAACTTTATTACTTTCTTTCATAATTTTAACCAATTTAATATAAATTATAAATTCTTTTTTTTTAGGAAATTCTAAAGTCTTGAAATAATATTATTATGAATAATTAAAATTAAATCTGACTAGATTTAAGATTTAATTTAAACCTCAGTGACAAATACACATTAGATGTTTCTTATCAGTTCTTTGATCATTCAATAACATTTCTATTCTTGAACACGAAGAGGGAAGAACAATGGCAGAATCTTCACCAACATCAACAAAAGCAAGAAAAAACAGGAGACGGAGTATTGAGGATATACCTCCATGTAAGTATACAAATAATAATAATAATAATAATAATAATAAACAGAATAAGAATGAATAAGAGCATGAATGACTTAGTCTTCTCATATAAAATGTAATATGTATAGTTCAGGACTGAACAGTAGCAGATAATGAAATCATTTTAAATTAATAGTTTTAATCAATATTACTCCATATACTGTATGTATTGATTTTGTATACAGTAAGTGTTTGTGTATTGAGCTTCACATTCGGGTCTGATCAGCTTGTCTGGGTTCATTTTACAGTAATGAGCAGCTGACTGTACATGATCTCTCATATATTTGAGTTTCTTCAAAGTCGTAACTCTTTATCTCTAGACATTCTTTACATTCACCAACATCATGAGACTCTTTATAAACAGTATTAAATGAGTTCACAGGAGGGTTGAGCCTTTGCCTTCACTCGTCCATTTATAATAATAGGCTAATAATAATATTAATTATTATTTTAGTCCTTCAGGCAAAAGCCATTAGATCAGAAAGTCAAATGTGTGTCCAAACTTTAGACTGGTGATTTACCTTCATCATTTCTCTCTCCAGCGATGTCTTCCTCCAGCGGTCCACTGACTGAGGATCTTCAGTGCTCGATATGTCTGGACGTGTTCACTGATCCAGTCACCACTCCATGTGGACACAACTTCTGCAAGACCTGTCTGAATAAGTGCTGGGACAACAGCCAGACCTGCAACTGTCCATATTGTAAAGAAACATTCAAGCACAGACCTGATCTCAAGATTAACACCACACTCCGAGAGATCGCAGATCACTATAAAAAGAAAAGTCCTGAGATAAAAGCTGAAGTTGTGTGTGACGTCTGTGAGGACAGAAAGCAGAAAGCCCTGAAGTCGTGTCTGGTGTGTCAGAGCTCTTACTGTGAAACTCACCTGAAGACTCATCTGAGAGTGGCAGGTTTAAAGAAACACAAACTGATCAATCCTGTGAGTAATCTGGAGGACTATATATGTCAGAAACACGAGAGACCTCTGGAGCTGTTCTGTAGAGATGATCAGACGTGTGTGTGTCTGATGTGTGCTTTGGAAGACCACAAGAACCACAACACTGTTCCTCTAGAAGAGGAGAGTGAAGAGAAGAAGGTAGAAGTTCCTGACAAACTGATTTTAAATGGCTCTTATTATGAGGAATCACATGTTCTTTAATATAAATGAATCAATTATGAAAACATATTGTGTGTTCTTCTCTGTCTATAGACTCAACTGATGAAGACACAGAAAGACACACAGCAGGAGATCCAGGACAGAATCAAGAAGATTCAAGATGTCAAACACTCAGCAGAAGTCAGAAAAGTGAGTTTAGAATAATTAAATTTCACTTATTTAATTTAGTGCTGGGCAAAGATATATTGTGATTAATCGCATCCAAAATAAAAGTTTGTTTACATTATATGTGTGTGTATAAACACGTGTACAGTATATATTTAAGAAATATTTGCATGTATATACGGTATATATATTGATGCATAATTTATATTATATTAAAAAAATAAATATTTTACATATATAAATAACACATTTTTCATATTCATATCATAAATATTTACGTGTGTGTGTATAAATACAAAATAACTCCGAGTTCAAGCCGGGCCTCGGGTTCAAGGCTCCTCTAAGGACAGCAAATTCGTTTACTATTAACCTTTAAGGCTGAATGGGCAGGAGAACTAACTAAATATCTATTATTGTATATTGAATTGTTGTTTGAATTGTTTATTAAATTGTTGTATAAAAGCAGTTTCACACTGACGGTCGCTCTGCTGGTCTGAATATCGACACGTCTGTGATTCCCTGATCACTTAGTAAAGTAATACCACATCTCTCCTCAACAAGACACATGATTTGAGGAATCATTCAGTGCAAACGCTGCAGAATGAGGGATTTTGAAAACACTGAAGTATGAGAAATAATAACAGTGATCAAACTCCACTAATAATGTGTTGTTGATCAGAGAAACACAGAGAAGGAGAAAGCAGCCCGTGTGGAGCTCTTCACTGATCTCATCCGCTCCATTGAGAGATGTCAGACTGAACTGCTGGAGATGATGGAGGAGCAGCAGAAAGCAGCAGAGAAACAGGAGGAAGAGCTCATTGAAGAGCTGGAGCAGGAGATCACTGAGCTAAAGATGAGAAACACTGAGCTGGAGCAGCTCTCACACACTGAAGATCACCTCCACCTCCTACAGGTCAGTCAACATCTCTCTGATCAATGATAATGCAGTGGATGACACCAGAACACTCCCCATGCTGAAGGATTTCTCCTCTCTCTCTCCTGCTGTAGATTTACTCGTCCCTGTGCAGCTCCACAAACACCAGGAACTGGTCTGAGATCAGTGTGAAGACTGATGAGAGTCTGGAGGCTCTGAGGAGAGCTCTGACTAAACTGCAGGACTCTCTACAGGAGAAACTCACACACACTGGTACAGCAATATCAAACACACCGTACAGATACATATATTTATCATCTTTATATCAGGACTGAAAACTCAGACATTCAGAGAGAGACTCACACGATTGACACTCAAGCATTCTCTCGCACATCCATATTCACACACGGTGAAAAAACATTGCGAAGCAAAGAGGACACGGACAGACAAGAAAGAGCAGGTTACTTTTCTATATGAAACAAAGTCTTAGTTTTTTGTGTAAGTTTTATTAAGAAATTCAAACAATAAATACCGTTTTGGCGGGAGATATTGCTGTCGCCTCAGTTCAAGTGGCACATGATCCGATCATCTCTTCCTCTTCACTGCTAGTTACAGAACAAAACACACATGAATGTCATCAGATGTGTTGAACAAACCAGTACAACTCCTGAAATGTGTCATATCTCATGTAATCGCTCAATCAAACGATGTCACATAACATTTACCTCAGAAAGACATTCAATGTCCAGTAGTTTGGGAGAAAATGTGCTCAAGACAGGAGCAAAAAAAGCACTATATCAATTATATTTTACTCTAATACCATTAACATTTTTATTATAACTTTATTAATATTAAATCTTCCTGAAATGCAGTTGTACACAAACCAGTTGGTAATTAACTTTTAATAATAATGTACTAGCTGACAGGGTTCCTTGTATAGTTCACAACATTAGTTTTGCTAAATGCATTAAAATAATTATTAATACATAATAGTACATATGAATACTTAAAACAAATCCACAATTAATGAGTAAATAAATAGAATGAGAAAACCTAAAAATATGTGCACAAATGCTCAAATTCTTTCACACAACTGGCTGATCTCAGGTCAGTATCAATGCGCGCGAGTATGACATAAGCAAAAAATTATGAATAAAATAAATAATCGACTGAAAAAATTAATTGGATATTAAAGTATATATTATAGTATAGCATGATATGACATTTTTTGATTTTAACTAACTTTAACAATAAACGAGAGACAGGGAGAGAGAGGGAGAGAGAGATAGAGAGAGAGACTATGTGTTAGTGTTAGGATGCTGCTGTTGTCATGGTAGCTCTTCTCTCTCGACTGCCACCCAGAATTTAGATAACGCAGCTCAACATTGTAAACTCATTATAATACAGTTAAGTATCTAAAACTAAAAATCGACATATTTAGATATAAAATAAATACAAATAATTCATTATCTTTTTGTCCCAAATTCATTATTATTATAATCAGCTCACAGTTCTTCAGGTCTTTTTCAGCTCTAATATCAGAAAACATATAAAACTGTATGTTTCACCAAAACCACAAAAGCAGAAAATGAAGTGAATAGACATCATGTGTTTAAGAGGCAGATTTGATCTTCATGAGAAGAGGATGTGTGTGAAATATCAGGCCTGAATCTCCAACAGCTTACAGTGCTAAAACACACACACACACACACACACACACACACACACACACACACACGCACACACACACACGCACACACACACACACACACACACACACACACACACACACACACACACACACACACACACACACACTGATCAGATAAAACATGATGTTGTTCATAATTCTCTAAATATAACCTTAAATCTGGTCTATAATTGCACTCATAAACATGTGAAAGATCTGCTGATGTTTTATTGTCTTTAGTCTCTACAGTTGTGAAGAGGAGACAGCAGTATGCAGGTACAGTGTGTGTCTGACCTACACTAGATTACATTCAGATACTCACAGCTTCATCACTGACCGACAGTATGATCACACACTCATTACATATTACACACATCAGCACTAAAGTCTGTGATTCATATTGTCTGTTTTCTCAGTGGATGTGACTCTGGATCCTGATACAGCTAATCCTAATCTCATCCTGTCTGATGATGGAAAACAAGTGAGAGATGGAGACATTGAGCAGAAACTCCCAGACACACCACAGAGATTTGATCCATGTCCCTGTGTCCTGGGAAAGGAGGGATTCTCCTCAGGGAGATTTTATTTTGAGGTGCAGGTGAAGGGAAAGACTGACTGGGATTTAGGAGTGGCCAGAGAATCCATTAACAGGAAGGGAAAGATCACACTGACTCCCAGTAATGGATACTGGACTGTGTGGCTGAGGAATGGGAATGAATATGAAGCCTGTGCTGATCCCTCTGTCTCTCTGTGTGTGAGAGTGAAGCCGCAGCGGGTCGGTGTGTTTGTGGATTATGAGGAGGGTCTGGTCTCCTTTTATGATGTGGAGTCCAGCTCTCATCTCTACTCTTTCACTCATCAGTCTTTCACTGAGAAACTCTATCCATATTTTGGCCCGTGCAATAATAATGGTGGTAAAAACTCAACTCCACTGATCATCACACCTGTCACACACAATCAATGAATTTACAGCCCTAATGTGAAATAGATGAAAATAATGCTTCATTTAATTCACGTTTAAAAAAATGTGTTTTTACTCAAAGGGTGAGAACCATTTGTTGTTTCCGCTTTACAAGTTATTACAGCATCTAAATAAATAATAATTAATAATACTATTAATTATTATTATTAATAAACTAATCAATTAATTGTTGTTTCTGTTTTATTATGTCTAATATTAAGCCTGTATGATGACCTCACCTGTATGAGATATTTTTGTGTGTGATTCTTACATTTCAGGTTCAGTCATCAGTTTGATTTCTAGACCTGATAAAATTCACTCTTGTGGCCTTTATAAACACATTAAGATGAAATTTTAAAATCAGATATTTTATATATAAAATTCAGTATACATAGATTTTTCATTTTTACAGTAGATTTCATAACAGTGTAAAAGAGTAAAAGCAAATCTGCTTTGGGATAAAAAAAAAAATGAAAATGATTAATTAACGCAATTATTAGATATCAATTATTAGAATAAATGAAACAGAGATATAGAAAGAAAGTCGAAAACAAATTATAAAAAGGTAAGAAAGAATAAAGTTAAGAAAATAAAAGGTCCAAACACCATATTATTATATTAGTTGCTACCACTTCCAAAAAGTCAAAACATTGCGCCATATTTAAAAATTACAATAGCTTGTTGAAACGAGATAAGTTCTACAGACAAATGTAGTTTTATTTCATGAGTGCCGAAGTTACGACCAAACTGGTTTATGAAGCAGCACAACTGTTTTCAACATTGATAGTAATAATAAATGTTTCTTGCGCATCAAATCATAATATTAGAGTAATTTCTGAAGGATCATGTGACACTGAAGACGGGAGTAATGATGCTGAAAAATCAGCTTTGATCACAGGAATAAATGACATTTTAAAATATATTCAAATAGAAAACAGTTATTTTAAGTTGTAAAAATATTTCACAATATTCCTATTTTTCCTACCGACCGCACCCTTTTAAATGGTAGAGTAACACAATATTCATGCATTTTTATGTGTCCAAATACTTTGACTTCCCAAATTCCAAGTAGAAAAGTTCTTGTAGAACACATTGTACTTGGGATCAGATCATCTAAGATGGGTAATCATATCAGGTGTAAAATGGGATTCATCAGCACAATCTCAAATGCACAGTGCTGGAACACTGAAATAGACCAGCGCTGTGTGTGTGTGTGTGTTGGAAAAAGTCACGGTGTGTGCTTTGGAACAGTAGCTGTACCCAATATGAGGTTCCCCTCCTTTCCTCTCATTCTGGGCTGATTGATTTACCAGCGGTCCTCGGCTCTGGGCTCCGGACTGCAGCCCTGCATGTAAAGCAAGATCCGGGGATTCAAGGTCAGGTGGCTTAAAGCAATATTCACCACAAATTAACTTCTGTCATTGTTCACCATATATTCAGCATAATGGCCAAGATGTTTTTTACTATAGAAAAAAAAGTGAATGGTTGTAAAAATATAAAAACACAATAAAATGAGTCCATACAGTCTACACAACCAACACATTCTCATCCGTCATAGTGACGCTTTTGACGTATGCGTATACATCCAACGCACATGGCACCCTTTAGCATCAATATAACACGCTTCGGTTATGGGCAGGTTTAAGTCTGGGGTAGGGTTAGGGTTAGACCACTAGGAGGCGCCTTCTGGCCCATATCTGCGTCTCATATTGACGCTAAAGGGTGCCATGTGCGTTGGATGTTGACGCATTGTCAAAAGCGTCAGTATATGTCGCCTTGGGATGAGAACGGGCAGACAAAACTGCTCAAAGTTTTGAATAAATTAATAAATAAATGTGTAAATTAAAACTTTTATTTAAGAAGCATGCAATAAAAGATCTTGCAAAATATTGCTATTTCAAATCAACGCTGTTCAAAGAATCCTAAAAAAAATCTATATGTGTAGATTCCACAAAAATATGAAGCAGCACAACTGTTTTCAACATTGGTGATAATAATAAATGTTTCTTGAGCAGCAAATCAGCATATTAGATTGATTTAGAAGGATCATGTGACACTGAAGATTGGAGTAATGATGCTGATTTAAAAAAAATACATATATTCAAATAGAAAACAGTTTGAATTGTAATATTTCACAATATTACAGTTTTTCCTGTATTTTTGATCAAATAAATGCAGCCTTGGTGAACAGAAGACACTTAAAAAACATTTAAAACATCATTAAACCCCAAACGATTGAACTTTAGCGTAACAATTCAGACTTCTGAAGCCATACGCCTTATTCACGGCAGCGCTATCTTTAATTTTTAATGAGAATGAAAGCGAGGCTGTGAGGGATAGACATGCATATCTTCAATGGGCTGTACTGTTATTTAAATTTTCGGATTGTTCTGCTCATGAAACACTCGAAAAATATCTTTCCAAGAAATTTTAGTTGACAAAAAACTCCTGACAATGTAAGCTGTGGAAAATTGTAAGTAATCTAGCCGCTTTATTAAGCTTTTTACAGCGGAAACCATTGGAAACACGGTACGTCTATCCCTCACAGCCTCACTTTTATACCTGTCATGGCGCTGCTCTGAATAAGGTCTATACGTGTGAGAAATAGACCGAAATATAAGCTGCTATAGTTTGTGAAAAATGTTTATGCATTAAAACATGGTGTCATCATGGACATCAAACATGGCATGACTTTAATGCATGCAAGTGCACGTGAGATCCAAAAGTTCTGGCAAAGATGAGGATCTTTAGAGACTTTCACAATGACACATTTTCATACTTTTCTTTTAAGATGCTTCTTCGTTGCCTTTCAAATACAAATCTGTCAGCTATCAAACACATGCTGTGGACTGGACGTGTGTCCCTGCCTGAGTCGAGCAACCCAATGAGTCAGCCTGTGAAATATGAAGGCTTTTAGCAGCCCGCCACAGAGGATCACTTACACTCAACCATCTCTCATTTTTGGGGTTTAAGTATATATTTAGTCATCCTGTAAAAAGCAGGGAGTTAAACAACAGTGAAATGTGATTAAAAGAGAGTTTTTGCCATGTCAATTTGCCTTGGTCAAAGACAGACTGCCGTGATGGCGCTTGCATTACATCATAAGGTCATTTATCACCTTCAGACAAACATTTCAAGACAAATTACGCCAATCCATGCAGGAGAGGAACTCAAAAAGCTATTTGTGGCCTTTTACAAGCCATTTTTGGATTTATTTGTTCCGGAACAATCCGTGCGGTGAGGAAGAGGCGGTCCAATGAGCCGTTCTCAAAGCAGAATCATCTGGACTTGGAGCGTTTGGGTCTAACCAAACCCTTTCAAGTGGGCTTCTCTGGTTGCTCCACACCAATGCCAGAGGACCAAATGTGCTCTTTTTCACCGGCTGGAGAAAGTAAACACACCAGAACCGAATCAAAACCCATGTGTGGTTGATGCCCCCAGACGACAAGCTGATTTAGCTTTAGATGTTCAGAAGGCGTCTGCAAATGCGATGAGCTATTGTTTCACAGCTTTGATAGATGAACATCACCTGACAGAGACCGATGAGGGGCTGGTTTTATTCGTTTAACAGAAGAGGCAAAAACAGAGACTTGAATGAACAAAAGATAATTAAATAACCAGAAGGAGGAGGGAATGATATGCTAACAAGTCTTTCATTGGCAGTTAATCATAGATGCTCATTAGGAGCACTGATTACACCACACAATAATGAGATGTGCACGCAAACATACTCTCACAAAGTTTACACACATGCACATCCACCATGCCAGATGTTTACGTCAACGCAATGAGGAAAATTGCTTGTTTATGTGAAAAATCCCATTATAGTTCCAAAAACTGAACAACACACACAGACTCACACACACATCACAGTAAGGAGCGGATTAGACATCAGGTTGTCTGTGTAATTAGTGTCAGATTAATTAGAATTTGTTCAGCAGCTTTAGCGGTTGATGATTCTTTTCTCATTAATGTGAGCTTGAACTCAGTCCAGAAACAAACAAAACTAATATTTGTTAAGCCATACTTCCACATTGATTCTGCAGCGTCGCCTCCGGGTCAAAAAGGTCAAGACGCTTCAATGAAGAGAAAGAGAGCCAGTTAAAGGAGTAGTTCACTTTTGAAAAAACTTTTGCTGATAATTTACTCGCCCCCATGTCATCCAAGATGTTCATGTCTTTCTTTCTTCAGTCGAAAAGAAATTTAGGTTTTTGATGAAAACATTCCAGGATTTTCTCCATATAATGGACTTCAATGGGAACCAAACGGTTCAGCGCAGTCTCACCCCAAAAAGTCATATAACTGACGTTTTGGGACGTCTTTTGACCATACGTCAATATTCGTCTTTTTAGGGCCCCCTTAAACGTCGGTAGATGAGGTTATGGGATCCTAACTCTACCCCAGACCTAAACCTAACCCTAAACATAACCCGTCACCTAACTGACGTTAAAGGTAAAGCGTCAGTTGTATGACGGCCCGGGATCGCCATCTACCGACGTTTAAGGGTACCCTAAAAAGGCGAATATTCCCAAAGACGTCCCAAAACGTCAGTTATATGACTTTTTGGGATGAGACTGTGTTGAACGGTTCAAGGTCCAAAAGACAGTTTCAGTGCAAACTGTTCAAAGGGCTTTAAACGACTCCAGATGATGAATAAGGGTCTTATCAAAGTGAAACGATCGCTCATTTAATAAATAACAAAGTTGAAGTTTTTATAAGCACAAATGCTCGCCTTGCTTTGTTTCTGTGATGCACGTTTGTGACTCTCCTGTTCGAACTCGTTCATCAAAATGAACTAATCTTTTTCCGAGTCATTTGGTTCATTCAAGGAACGAAACGAACGAATTGACTCGGAAAAGATTCGTTCATTTTGATGAATGAGTTTGAACAGGAGAGTCACGAACGTGAATCGCAGTACAGAGCAAGGCGAGCATTTGTGCTTATAAAACTTAAACTTTGTTATTTTATTTTGAAATGAGCGATCGTTTCACTTGATAAGACGCTTATTCATCATCTCGAATCGTTTAAAGCCCTTTGAACAGTTTGCAGTTTGCACTGAAACTGTCTTTTTGACCTTGAACTGTTTGGTTCCCAATGAAGTCCATTATATGGAGAAAAATCCTGGAATGTTTTCATCAAAATTCTTAATTTCTTTTCGACTGAAGAAAGAATGACATGGACATCTTGGATGACATGGGGGTGAATAAAATTATCAGCAAAAGTTTTTTGAAAAGTGAACTACTCCTTTAAATTCCCATTCCAGAGACACATGAGTATTTCAACCCAGTCTGTCTGGGACTGCAAAACAGTCGCACATTTACTGTATGCACCATGCACACATGTATACAGATACACAAATCACTGTGCAGTATATCAGATTATCATTCACTGCGGAGGAAAAACGCTCGTATTTCACATGACATTAGCAGCTTTTGGGAACTGCTGAATGGAGATAAACCACAGAGCTTTTAACCAAAAGAAAATGGAAAATAGTAGGACATCTGAGGCAGTTATTTATTTTTTCCATTGCTCTCCATCTCCTGTGATGGATGAAGATCTGGCACTTGCAGTTTTTGGTATAGCACCTGCAACGACATCATCATTCAGTATTTCACCGCAGAATGAATCATTCTGACACACACCTGCAGGACTTTCCCTGAAGAGAGGAAGATCACACTAACTTTGACAATAAGACATGGTGTCACTCATCCCATCCCTCTTGCCCTGATCTTAAGATGCGCTCGGATCACAAGTAGACGAGGGAGACACATTCCCGTTTACACCTGGTGTTTAATCCATCTCCTTTGTCCACTTTCATCCACTTCTGCACTGTAAAAAAAAAACCGGTAAACTACTGGCAGCTGTGGTTTGTCATGCATCATACCGTAAAAATACGGTGTATTACGGTTTTTGAAATGAACAGCTAAATACCGTATTGTCCGCTACAGTATTAAACTTTAATTTAACAGCTATATGCTCGAACACAAAAACAGTAACACACCGTTTAGTTACGGTATGATGTTGACAACCACAGCTGCCAGTAGTTTACCGTTTTTTTTTTTTTACAGGATTACATTTACATTAATTTAGCTGACGCTTTTATCCAAAGCGACTTACAATTGCTGTATACGTCAGAGGTCGCACGCCTCTGGAGCAACTAGGGGTTAAGTGTCTTGCTCAGGGACACATTGGTGTCTCACAGTGGATTCGAACCTGGGTCTCTCACACCAAAAGCATGCGTCTTATCCACTGCGCCACCAAGGATTAGTTTTTACAGTGATTTCTTGTATGTTATAAATCAGGAATCATGAGAGCACATTGTACTTGGTATGTTTTTCATCTTCA